GACATTGGTATCGGTAATGATTTCTTGGTTATGACACCAAAAGCACAGGCCACAAAAGCAAAACTAGACAAGTGGTAGTACATCAAACTAAAAAGGATTCTGCACAGCAAAGGAACAATTAATAGAGTGAAAAGGCAACCTACAGAATAGGAGAAAATATTTTCAAACCATATTCTGATAAGGGGTTAATATTCAAAACATATAAAAAATTCCTACAACTCAATAGCCAAAAAACCCCAAAATAACCTGATTAAAAAATGGGCTAAACACTTGAATAGACATTTCTCTAAAGAAGACATAAAAATGGCTAACAGGTAAATGAAAAGATGTTCAGCATCACTAGTCATCAAGGAAATGCAAGTCAAAACCACAATGCAATATCACCTGACACCTGTTAAGACAGCTATTATCAAAAAGAAACCCAAAAGATAAGTGTTGGGAGCATGGGGAAAATTGGAACCCTTATGCACTGTTGGTATGAATGTAAAATGGTACAGCCACTATGGAAAACAGTATGTCAGTTCCTCAAAAAATTAAAAATAGAACTACAGCAATCTCACTTGTGGGTATTTATCCAAAAGATTAAAATCAGAATCTCAAAAAGATATCTGCACTGCCATGTTCATTGCAACATTATTCCCAACAGCGAAGATGTGGAAACAACTTAACTGCCCATCAATGGATGAATGGATAAAGAAAATATGGCACACGTGCACAATGGAATATTATTCAGCCTTAAAAAAGAAGGAAATACTGCTCTATGTGACAACATGGATGAAACTTGAGGATATTATGCTTAGTGAAATAGGACAGTCACAGGACAAATATTGCATGATTCCACTTATCTGAGGAATCTAAAATAGTCAAACTCACATGAGCAGAAAGTAGAATGGTGGCTGCCAGGGGCTGAGGGGAGGGGAAAATGGGAAGTTGCTAGTCAATGAGTGTAAAATTTCAGTTCTGCTGGACGAATGCATTCTAGAAATCTGCTGTACAACATATTGCCTGTAGTTAACAGTACTGTATTGTACACTCAAAAATTTGCTAAGAGGGTAGATCTCATGTTACGTGTTCTTACCAGAGTTATTTGAAAAAATAGATCTTCCAATGGGGCTTTGCCCAAGCTCTATCTGCTACTGAACCTAGACCAGGTTCAGCTGTACAACCCTGGGACCCTGGACTCGCGTCTGCATAGCATTTTCACACGTGTGTGTCGTCACTCGCTTAGTTGTGGGTCTTCCCTTCTAGAATATAAGCCTGTGAGTCCAGGGCCTGCAGCCGCCTTGCTCACTGCTGCCTCCTCAGTGCTCACAGTGCCTGGCCCAGGGCAGACTCTCAGTAAATATTTGTGGAATAAATGAAACTATGCAGTTTTCTGACATTCTGACATTACGTGGAGTGAGTCAGTCTAAACTGGGCTGGTTTGTGGTTTTCGTAAAATTCCCCATTGAAGACTGCTCATTCCATCTGGATGGAATTTTCTACAGACTTACTCTATTTCTGTGCCAGGTCCCTCTAACGGACAATTGTGATCAAAACTATGCCAGAAGCGGCCCAAACTAAGAAAACCATCTCCCTCGCTCCTTTCTGTCCGGGCGGGCTACTCTTCACATTTGACGATGCCCAGCCTTGATTAGCCACAGCTGCTCTGAGCTGCTTTTCATGTTTCAGTTTCAGGGGATCGAGGAAGGTTCTCACCAGTTGTCTCAGGCAGGATTGGGGATTCCTTTCTCTGTGACCCCCAAAACCCATTGTTCTTACCTGTAGCCTACAACCAGAGGATTGTGTGGTCATTATTGTTTCTGTATCTGATGTTCTGGCCAAGTACGATCTCTTGTAAAGAGGGAGTCAAAATTATCTTTTTAGCTCTCATTTTGTTCATGTATTTCAACATTTCTGAGCACCTACGGTCCAGCTGGTATTGAACTAGACATATCTTCGGCATGGCTCATTGAGTCCAGGGCAGGCTTTTGATAAGTGTGTGCTGCTCTTAGTGTCTGTGGCAGGGGTCCTGATGGTGGTATCCCCAGTTGCCTGGGAATCCAGGTTGCTACTTTCAGAACAAAAGTTTCCCCTGGCCTGCCCAAGGGGGCCTTACAACTAAATAAAATGCAGTGACTTTTAAAAGATGCAAAGGAGGACTCAGTAGCAGACTCCTGACTGCTTTCTGAGAATCCTCCCCTCCTTCCTCTTTAGTAATGGAATCTAGATTTTCTAGGGCACGTTACCACCTACCCAAAAGACTATTTTTTCCCCAGGTCCTTTGCAGCTAAATGTAGCCATGTGATTAAATTTTGGCAAATAAGATAAAAATGAAATTTTTATGTCAGTTCCAAGATGTCTTAAAGAGAGTAGGCATGCCGTTCTTCGACCTTACCCATCTGCTACCTGGAACAAAGATGTGATAAATGGAGCTGAGCAGCCATTTTGGACCATGAGGCTAGAGGTCAAACCCTGGAAATGACAGACTGGAGAGCTAGAAGGAGCCTGGGTTCTAAGGACTTGGCGAAACTCTAATGTCAGCCCTGGACCGGCCATGTCTAGACTTCTTTCATGTTAGAGGACAATAAACTGTGATTGTTTTAGCTACTATTCCTTTGGGCTTCTAAAAATATAGCACTCACCTGAGAATAATGCTTTAATTCCACCTGTGGACTTTTTTCTTTGACTTCAGGATTATAGGCTTTTAAGTTAAATGCAATTTCAGAGACTTCTATTTAAGTCTTGAAGGTGTCTGGGGGGTTGAAGGATGTGTAAATGAGGGGGAAAGTCTATAGATGGCAGAAGAGAGAAGAGATGCACTGTGAGAGATTGACATCTAATCTTGCTATGTCATCCTGTTATGCTTAGGACACAATCCTACTTCTTCCCCAGAACTACAAGCTTCCCTATGATCAGCCCTCTGCCTTTCTCTCCAGCATCTTGCCCTTGTTCACACAGCCCCAGCCACACTGGCCCTCTCTCTGCTTCTTGCAGTGCTTCACGCTCTGCTGCCTCAGGGCCTTTGCACTGGCTGTCCCATAGCCTGGAAGGTTCTTCCTCCATGTTTTCACATGACTGCCTCCTGCTTGTCATTCAGGCTTCAGCTTACGAGTGACCTTCTCAGAAAGGATTTCCTTGGTGTACAACTTACCCCACCTGACGTTTTCCAATTTATGTATTTATTTATGTCTCTCTGCCCCTTACACACCACGTGAATGTGAATTCGACAAGTCACTTGATTTACCCTATTCACCACGGCATCCGGGAACTCCAAACGAAGCCTGGCACATGCATATTTGTTGAACACGTGTCAATTGATTGAACACAAGACTGCACAGGAAGGGCTTCCTCCCTGGCACAGCTGCTGCTCTGCTTTTGCTCATTCCTACTTGCCTTTCTGTTTTTAACCTATCTTTTCCTACATCTCAAAATAAAGTATTATGTGCCGAATGGAGCAATTTCTTTTAGGCATAATTTGCATAAACCAATTTTTCTGTAATCCCCGATGGTGTCTCAACACTGTCCTACAGTACTTGGGACTGTCATAAATTATTTAAACATGAATAATAATCAGTCTACAACATTCATTCCTGGGCATAGTGTTTAAGGAGCCGGGGATGGCTAGAATGTGAAAGGCTGACCATAGAATAGGAAGGAGCACCCCCCAACGGAGAAAACACAGAGAGAGAGGAGGTGAAGGTAGATAAAGTCTAATTTCTAACTCGCAGCTTTGCATAGTCTACTATTTGAGATAGGAGTTCAGCAATCTGTGACAGATACCCCAAATACCAGTGGCCGATATAATTTGAGTTGATATGATAGCTCTGCTCCACAAAGGTGTCAGAGACTCAGCCTTCTTCTACCTTGTTGCTCTGCCACCACTAGGATGTTGCCCTCACTAGTGAGACCCACACCAACTTATCACCCATTCAGCCCTTGGGAAGATGGAAGGGGCAGGGAGGGGCACTTTTTGCAAAATTCACACATCACCTCTGCTCACATCCCATTGGCCGGAGCCTAATGGCGTTGCCACTTGCAGCTGCAAAGTGGCTGGGAAGTAAGTCTCCTGTCTGAACAGCCACATCAGCCACGAATCAGGGGCTCTACTAAAACAGAAGGGGACCATGGAGACAGGGGCATCTGCCCCATGCAGTATGTCTTGGTTAGGAGGATTTTTAATGAACAGCCCACAGAGGCATGCTTATAAAAAAGATACGTAAAATATACCCACACACATTTTTCTACCAGCCTGTGCTTTCCTGGGAAACCCGAGTGTGGTAACATTAAGGAAATCTGACTGCTTTTCCACTCCTACAGCACCGTACTATTCACATTGGCCAAGACTGGGGCTCAGTTTTCTGGCCCAAAGTATCTACATCACAAAACGTGTTTTCCTATGGACGTGCTACCTGAGTTCCCTATATCTATTAATACTGCAAGACACATTACACCTTAATAGAACTCATGGCTAAAGAGGGGGTCACTTGAGGTGCCACAAAAACTATGGGAAAGTGAAAAGCCCTTACTGGGAAGCACATAGACCCAAATAAGCTGATAGTTGGCCATGAAAATCAAAGCTGACCTGAATGCAATGATATCTTTTTTGTCTCTTTCAGCCCTGCTAAAAGCAGACTGTCCCAGGCAACCCAGGCTGAGTTGGTCACTCTACTTTCAAATGAGAGATTTCCTTACTGGGAAGGAAAGTAGAAGTAGAGAAACCATAGTAGTTTCTCACTTGGACTAGCACGATAGAGCCATACAAGTCCAACAACCACGGTTTCCCCTGCAATACCTGTGCTCACGCACAAATGGGATCGAGTGGAAATTCACGGGCTGCAGTCTAGTAAAACAGGCCTTTTGATGATGTCCAGGCAGACAGCTTTAACCCGACGGCTGGTGACCTGACCCACACGTTCCCCCACCCAGCTTCTGCCTTTATGGTTACACCCCCACATTTCATGCTGGGCCCCCCAACAATTGCGTCTTTGGCTCCTCTGCCCATCCTGGCATCAACTCACGGATCCGCACTTCTGCGTTTGTGCTTCTGTCCCCGCGTCCACCGCTGTGCTCATTGTCCCTGCGTGGTGCTCAGGAGCGGCGGTTAAGTGCACAGAGTGGGAGTCAGGTACGTGGAGTTTCCATGTCACTTCTTTTCAGTAGGCATTTAGGCAAATCAGACTCTTCCAGAGTCTGGAAAATGCGAATAATAATATCTCCATAGAAAGGTAGAGAAAGTGACACAGGAAACGTCTCAATTGACCTTTAACACTCTAGCACGAGACTTTGCCCTTTGGCCCTGTGTCACCAGTGCCCGGCCTGAAGTGTTTGTGCCGAAAAGATGAGGCTCCGACTTCCAGGATTGGTTACTGAGAGCATCTGACAGTCATCGCAGGGAGACTGCAGAAGTGACAGGTTGTACCTTCTCAGCCCTGGGGGCGGAGTGCTGAGGACATGCCCAAACTCTCCCTGTCTGAGAGTGGAGAGCGATTTGGCACACGCATACCAAAAGCCTTCAAAATGGCCAGTTCAACAATTGCACTTCTAGGAATTTAGGCTGCGGAAGTAATTGGAGGTTATACAAACGTGTCTACAGAAAGTTGTCCAGAGAGAACAGAGCTGTTAATCAGAGTGAGAATTACAAGTAGCCTACCTGTCCCTGGAGACTGGGTGGCAGGTGCATAGAGGAGGTGCCACGCAGACACCAGCTGTGCATCCTGTGCCTCTACGTCCCCGTCTGTAAAGTGGTGCCACAGTGAGGACACAGACCTTAGACAAGTCTCTGGTGTGTGCTAGGCCTTCAGTGTGGGTTAGCTACTAGGATTATTTTCCTACCATGAAAAGTCCTATTGTAAAAGGCGAATGACATGAGACATTTTTGCAAAGATATTATTCCTTTTTCTAAAACTGGATGCAAAAGTGAATGTTTAGCATAGCCCCAATTTAAATCCTAAAATGTAGCTTTTAGAACTAGAGGAGTAGATATGATAACTGAAAATGACCCCCTCTGGGTGGTAGTGTTACAAATGGCTTTTTCTTTTCTTTTGGTGCTTTTCTGTGTCCTCTCTGTTTCCTTCCATGAATGGTTTCTGGCCACATTCATACTATTAAATAAAATGATAAGCTGGTGGCAGGACAAGCCGCAGGAAAACTTGAGCCAGGGAGAGGACCCAGGTCCCAGCCCCTGTCCCCCGTCCCCTTCCCCACACAGATGGAATGAAGGGTGGGCTAGAGGCAGGCTGCTATAGGTCCCCTCCGGCTCTGAGCTCCTCTGGAGCATGTGACTCAGACGTAGGGACACATTAGATGCTTGCCAGAGAGGCAGAATTGAGGGGAAGCTGAAAAAAATCATCTTTACAAAGTTAAATGAAAGCTGCTTTCCTAGCGAAGTAATAATTACTGGAATAAAAAAAGAAAAGAAAAATAAAATAATAAATAATAATAATAATAATAATAAAGAAAGCTGCTTTCCTCATAAAGGCCAATTCTGACCCCTATTAGTCATATGTTAAAAATGAGGCAGGCCACCCTAACCTAAGTGTCCTGAAGCTGGTACTTACCTTCCTGGTGAGCTCTGAGGGGACGCAAGGGGCCCAGCTTCTGAAAAATATCCTTTCTACCAACTTCTCAGGTGTTTTCAATCTCCGTGCTGTCAGTTCTTTGGGAAGCCACTATCTGTAAGAAGCTCTCTTAATACACAGGGTTTTTTTTCCATGATGGGCTTTACTGTGTACCTAGGCAGTCCTACTTGTCTCGCCCCACTCCATGGTGGACACTTTTCTGGGCACTGGGGACACAGACCCTCTGAGGTTCGGCCTCTAACTCAGGCCCTTGCAGGGTGACAGGAGGTAGAGGGGGGAAGGAGTGATGGCGGCCCACGACAGGCGGTGCCGGGAGAGGACCCGGGAACAGCAGGAGGGTCGCCTGTGGGGGAAGGGATCGGGAAGACTTCCTGGGGCGACAGTGTCTGAGGTGGGCAGCCCAACCTAACCATAGAAGGTGGCCCAGGGAGACTCATTTCTCTCCTGGATCAGATGAGAGTTTCTTCCATATCAGGTGAGGCCCAAACTGCTGGGAAGTAGGGTGATTGGGAGCCCCAAGAACCAAGTAGCGAGGGGCAGTATTCTCTCCCACAGGCCTGAGATTCCTCTCGCCCACCGAGAGAGGGAGGGATGCTCACAGGGCGCTACGAAGGGGAAACCACACCACAACAAGGGGTCTGGCCCAGGAAGCCTCTCGGTACCCACAGGCCTAAGACTCCTTTCCCTCACCCAGAGGTGCCAGGGCAGCTGGAGGGGACCAGTAGGTGGGATCCCACAATAAGCCCCTAGCCTGGGAAGGCTCTTGGTTCCTGTAGGCCTGAGACCCCCCCTCTCCAACCAACAGATACTCCAGGACCCCAGACGGCCCCAGCAGGGACCATGGGAGCCTGGCAGCCCCAGCTAAATGCTCAGAAGACTTAACAGTCATTGGAAGCAGAGTCCTTGCAAGTATCCGCAGTATAGGCCAGTATCCGCAGGCTAAATCTAGACAGGGTGACTGCCTACTAAAACATGAGTTAAATAGGAACAAGAGTCTCCTAACATACTAGGACACAATCGAATGTCCAGGACACAATCAAATATCACCTGCCATACCAGAAAAACCTCAACTTGAATGAGAAAAGACAATAAATGGATGCCAACCCCAGGATGAATCAGAATTTGGAATTATCTGACAAGAATTTTAAAGCTGCCTTCATAAAAATGCTTCAACAATAAAATATAAATTCTCTCTAAACAAATGAAAAAACAAAGAAATCTCAGCAAAGAAATAGAAGCTATAAGACATGAACCGTAGGAGATTGGAGAGCTATTGGTCAAAGGATATAAAATTTCAGTTAGATAGGAGGAAAAAGTCCGAGAGATCTATTGTACAAAATGGTGACTATAGGCAATGATAATGTATTTTATTCCTAAAAATTATTATGAGAAAAGATTGTAAGTGTCCTCACCAACAAAAAAATGAGAAGTAATGTGAGTAATTCATATGTTAATTAGCTCAAGTGTTAGAGGCAAGGACCCTCAAAGACCCTCAACTCCCCTATGACTTGTCCTACGCACGGACTTCGCCCTGGAAAATTCCAGCTATAGCTCCGAGAAGAATGCAGTCCATGACGTGCTGACCACGGAATGCTCCAGGATGTGTCGACTGCAAATGTTCCGGTTGGAGATGAGTAATCAGTCAAAAACAAGATACTGATAAGACACTGATTAGGGCTAATCAACCCAGACCCAAGCCTCATCGTCACCACTCTATTTTTTGTTTTGACTTCCTTGTTTTTGTATGCTTATAAAACCCACTAAAAATCTAAGTAAAGCAGACCTTGACAACCATTTGCTTGGTCTCGTTTCTTTCTCTCGCTCATCTCTTTCAGGCACGGTCCCCCTCGCCCCCGCGAGTAACAGAAGGTCCCGCGGGCCGGGACACTCAAGTTAGCCATTATACAAGGTATACATATTTAAAAATATGTACACAACAAATATATTTAATTTTTATTTATCAATTTAAGACGGAAGGAAAGGGGAAAAGAAACCAAAGGGAATTATAACACAAAAAAAATAATAAGAGATATGAAAAACTTCCTGGGAAATTACAATAGTAGAGTGAAGATAAAGGGTAGAATTTGTGAACTTGAAGGCAGATCAATAGAATTTACCCAATAAACAACAGAGAGAAAATACTAAAGAAAAAATAGAAAATCTCATGAAAAATAAAAAGAACTAATATTTGTATGATTTGTATGATCAGAGAAGAGAAAGAGATTTGGCCAAAAAGAATGTTTGAAGGAATAATGCTGAAAACTTTCCCAAATTTGGTGAAAGACTAACCAACAGTTTCAAAAAGCTGAAAAAAAATCCAAATAGGACAAACCCAAAGAAATTTATGCCAAGACAGATCACAATCTGATTTCCAAAAACTAAAGACAAAGAAAAAATCTTGAAAGCAACTAGAGAAAAATGATGCATTACCTATAGGAAAACACCAATTTGAATTTTTCATCAGAAACCATAGAGGTCAGATGGGAGTGGCACAACATTTTTCAAGGGCTGAAAGAAAATAGCCATCAACCATGACTTTTATATTTGACAAAACTATCCTTCAGTAGTGAAATGGGAAATGAAGACATTCTCAGACAAAGGAAAACTAAGAGAATTTGTCACTAGCAGACCTATTCTTAAAGATTGGCTGAAGAAAGTTCTTCAAACAAAACGATCAATGAAGGAAACCTGGAGCAGCAGGAGGGAAAAAAGAATGACAGAAAGAGCAGAAATATGGGTACATATAATAGACAATCCTTTCCCTCATGAGTTTTATAAATCATATTTAATAATTGAAACAAAAATTATAACCACATCTGATACTCAAGGCAATGATATTTAATAGTAGGAAAGGTAGAGGGACCTAAAGGGAAGTAAGGTTCCTGCACTTGAAGTAGAGACTTTGATACCAGTAGGCTGTGGTAACAACCAGAGTAACCACTACAAAATTTATGCAAAGAGCTACACTCAGAAACACTGTAAATAAATCAGGATGGAATCCTAAAAATGTTCGAATAATCACAGGAAAGCAAGAAAAGAGAAACAGAGGAACAAGAACCAGAGGAAACAAATAGAAAACAAATAATAAAATGGCAGACATAAACACCACGTTGTCAAGAATTTCCTTAAATGTAAATAATCTAAATATACCAGTATGAAGACAGATGACAAAATGTTTAAAAAAAAATCATGACCCAACTATACGCTGTTGACAAGAAACTCAATTTAAATTCACTGTAGGAAACATAGCCCTGAAAGTGGAAGGGGCTCGCTTCAAGTTCCAAGGCCAGTTAGTGGCAGGGCAGAATTTAGGATCTAGGTCTCTGCTGTCCCCACCTCCAGCCCCCATGCAGAGCTCCCACCTAATTCACCTTGCTGTCCCCCTTGACTATACTTTGGGAGTACATTTCCCCTTGCATGTAGCAGCACTGGGGGTGTGTGAGGGGCTCCTTTACCTTTAATGAGATTTGAAATAGAAAAATGTCTTATGTGAATAACCTGGCTCTGGCTTCTTTTCATCACCTGGGAGTACTCCAATCTAGTAGAATTTTTCTTGCTAGTATCATGTTGCTGTGTTGGATCTGCACCCTCCCTCATCCCCGAACTCTGCCCTTGTTATCCCTTAGATCATTTCATGGGTGACAGTTACCAGGTGACAGGCTTTAAATTG